GGCCTCATATGTGTCCCCGCAGCTCAGCCCAGGCTACCAGGAGACGTCTCTCTCACCTTTGTTAAGACACACAGGACCTTCCCTGCAGCAGAAAGCCTCCGAAGCACAGCACAGAGCAGGTGCTGGCTGGCATCTAATTTGCATGTGGTTTGCATATGCTTCCTGACTTCTCAAAATACCAGGAAACCCTCCTCCATCCTATAACTTCTCGACATTCAGAATCCCTCCTGACTTCACAAGAACTGCTTCAGGGCTGTGGACTTCCACGTGCTTAGCTAGAAAAGGGGTTCACCTAGGAACCAGAGAGACTCTAAACGCCTTGAAAGGTGAGTCCTGGCTCCAACCTACTTTTCCAAAGGGTCATGTCACCCACGCACTTTTGCTGCCCCTTCCCCTCCTGTTCAGCCAGACCACACAGCCCCTACCTGAAAGCACCCTGGTCTTCCACCTCAACAGGAGCTGGCCGATGCTATTCCCTGGACCTGGGATGCCCTCTCCTCTACCTGCAAAACCTCAGTTTACCTTCCAGACTCAGTTCAAATGGAACCTCAACAAAGCTCCTGCATGTAATCTTCCCTACCTCAAGGCCACCGAGCAGAATTATTGCCACTCAGTGGGTCCCAGCACTTTAGCTCATTAACAGCCAACAATTAAGGGGATGATTTATTATATTACAAAGAGGTGTCATCCAGCACACGTCTTTCCTGTTAGACTGTGAACTCGTTGAGGGCAGGAACTGTGGGAGATGCAGCCACCACTGCACACCTACAGCTCCTCACTCAAACACACAGTGATGTCCCCTCCGTAATGCCTAGCCTGGATTGCATTAAATAGTGGCAATACCCCGCTCAGGATTTTATAACATGAAACAGAGCACAGAACAGGGGGTCCTCAGAGACCCTGCTCTGTGTAGGGCCCTGTCTCCTGCGATGCACCTAGCTCATCACAGACAAAACCCCAAATCAGGATGGACGGCACCAGGTCGAGAGCCTTGGGCCCACAGGTGAGTGAGGCAAGGGCACCAAGGCTGCTGTTTAAGAAGCAAATAACCAAGCAGGGAAATTTACAGTCAGATAATTGGCAGCTCCGGTGCATAGTCAAATGCAGTAAATTAAGTGTTTTCCTGTAAATCAAGTTTATGATTTGCACTGGAGATGTAATTGTTAAAACTGTTCATTTTACCCGCAAATAGCAGTTGAAAGAAACCAATTTAGGAGTGACAGATTGGTTTTGATTCTAAATGTAGTGCTAAAACAGTTAATTTTAATAACATCCATTGGACAGGAGTCTGCCTTTTACTTAATATCATAGTCAACAATTTGAAAACTGCGCGATCAGCCACTGCTGCTTCCGCTAAAAATTAATCCCATTTTTCCCCCAAATGGAGGCATTTCTCAGCAGGAAGTAGCATCTCCACGCAGGAGGGCTTTCCTCAGTCGCAAGGTTATGGTCTTCCCACACTGCGGAAGGAGGGCCACAGAAAGGTCAGCTGTGGCTGCAACAAAAGGCACAAGTCCTGGAATACTGGGATGGAAAGGGACCCCTCCAGGTGGAGGAGCACCCTAGATGGCAAGCAGGATCTCCGTCCTCCACTTGCGCCTGAATGATGCCTCCGGGGAAGGAGCTCTCGCTCCCACATGCCTTCTTCCCGCCGGGGGTCAGGTGGGGACAGCTCTGAAACTGCGGAAATGTCAACTCCAGTCTCCACGGTCCAGCCCTCCAGTAACGGGAAGATGGTCCCCAGGTCTCTGCTGCTCCCATGCAGCTTCTCCTCCTCCCTAGACCGCACATGCTCATGCCCACACCCAAAGTGGTGCAGTGTGCCAGAGGGTCTCAGACACCAGTGGGTATCTAGTGGGTCCTTCTGAAGGAACAGGACAACATCTCAGTTCAACACTTGTCACCATCCTCCTTGTCATCTCAGGACACATACCCCAGTCTGTCAACATCCCCCGTTGGTTTGTGGTGTCTAAGACTACACTTGCTATTTTTGCCTTAATCCAATTTGGGTCCTAAGCACACGGTGGACCTTCAGCTTCTGGTACATCTCCGTTGGGCTAAGGGGAGCCCATGAATTGTTTTAGCGGCTTACCCTAGCATGAGAGGGGGCCCCTGAGGAGACAGAGCTTCTCAAACTTCAGCACACATCAGAACCATCTGGAAGGACTAGTAAAACAGAGTGCTGGGCCCTCACCCCCCTAGAGATTCCAAGTCAGTATGTCTGGATGGAGCCAGGGAATCTGCATTTCTAGAAAGCTCTCAGGTGCACCGATGCAGTCAGCCAACAAACCTCACTCTTAGTGGCACTGATGTAAGGGATCCGTATTATCGTCAACACCACCAATCTGCTGCAGACAGGGAAGCCTGGGCCCAGACAGCAAGAGGCAGAGGGGAGCACAAACAGCCCCCGGACACCAGTGCAGCAGCCCCACCACAGAAGCGCTCTCTCCCAGGGCACTGCCGGAGCTCCAGATTTCCAGCAAGGAAGATGCACAAATCAGCCCATTTACCCAGCTTTCGTTCAATAATTTCGAGAGGTATTAAAAAGGGAAACTTTCGTAAAAGAAGGAAAAAGCCTGTTCATTTTCATGGCCACCACTTGGAGGAATGGTTTTCTGGAGTCTAGGCAACCGCTTGTGAGAGTCTATTATAAAGGGAAGTCTAAATCACATTTATGGCTCATACTGTAAGGCAAATGTAGGTATTAAAATTGTTCCTTTTAAATGATAAACACCCGCTGAAATGGCGCAATAGAGCCACATCAGAGACTGTTTTCACCCAAAACAAACTGACTCAGGAAAGGCAGTAAATAGCAAATTTGACTGCAGACCCCATCACTGCTGTTGATCTAAGGAGTGAGGAGGGAGGGGGCGATGCAGAGAAGCTGGCATGAGGAAACCAGGTCTGTCTCTGTGTAGCACCTCACCCGGCCCAGTCTTCTCCAAGGCCTGAGAGCTAAGATTTCTCCCCAGAAGGGACCCCTGCTCCTCGTCTCGCCTGGTTTTAGAGACCAGGGCCTCCATTTTACTGTGCATATCACAATTGTTGTGGTTTTGATTTCGAGAGGGAAGTAATGGAAAAAATAGTTAATCACCCATTCATAATCTCTTAAACATTATTTTCAAGCTGATAGTTACAAAACAAAATGCAATCTTTCTAGCATCTTCAAGCAATTACTTGTCATTTTCCCAGTTTCCATAATAAAAGGAAATTAGGCTGGGGGGTGCTGGTGAGGGGGAGGGAGCAAACTCCTGACTTTGACTTTTGAGAAGATGAAGGACAGACTTTAAAGTTAAGTCCTACCCAGGTTTTCCTATCACAAAAGAAGGCAAATGCCAAGCCAGGCCAAGTGATAGGAATTGAGGTGGGGGCTTCTCCTGACCTACCCCACTCACCCCCAAATAAAAGATAATGTGAGTCTAATCACCTCAGCTTTGTTAAGCAAACTTGCCTCTACCCACCCCCTGAAGGAATTCAGGGGATATATCCACCTCTCTCTCTTGCCCTAAAGAGATTCAATAAATGAGGAGTCATAGCCAGGAGCCAATTTACCTCTTCTGATCATCATAGCAAGGGCTTAATTCATGATGGATGGATGGATGGTTGATGGATGGATAGATAGTTGCAAGGGTTAATGGATGCATGCATGGACAGAAGGATGGAGGGATGGAAGGATGAATGGACAGACAGACAAATAAATAAAAATAGACATTGTTTCTTGAGATTTCTTCCATTCTGAGACAAAACTTATCAAACTCTCAGTGTGAAATGAGATGTCAGGGTAATACCACAATGCTGTGCAAGTTTCTAATTCTTCCTCTCAATTTCTATAATCAATAGTGTGGGGACGGTGCTGGTCCTAGGCCAGGCTTGGAGCAGAACTGCCCTTGGATTCCCCACAAGGCAAGTCACACATGCTAATCCCCTCTTCCCCCCAGACATTCTCTGAGATGGATGCTTCTATCCCTACAGTCCAGAGGGGGAACCTGTGGCCCAGGGAGGGTTAGTGAGTTGCCCAATTTCCAAAAGGTAATAGCAGTTAGAAAGTGAAGCTTTAACATCCAGATCCGTCAGGCTCCAAGTCTTTGTATTTGTGTGACCGGGGGCTCCAGAGATGGCCTCTGAGGGTGGGGCAGAGCAATACTCCCAGCTAGGCCAGGGAAGGCTCCTCCAAGGATGTGGGTAGAGACATTGTCAGGAGCTAGGAGAGGGGAGGGATGCTAGGCAGGAGGCAGGCCCCCCAGGATCCAGGGCCTGGAGAGTTGGGGAGTGGGACAAGGACTACGGGGGGGGGGCCAGAGCAGGTGGGGAGGGGGGACATGAGCCTCCCCCAGGCTGGCCCAGTGGCTACTGTCCCTGGGCAGCTGGGCAGGCAGTGGCCCTCAGCCCAGAGTAGGGAGTGGGGAAAGAAGTGAGCACTCGAGTCGCTCCCTGCCCTTGATCCTCACCGTGGAGCCTGGGTTTCTCATTTTGAAACCCGTGGAGCAGTAGTTGGCATTTAAAAAAAATGTAAATCTGACAGAAGACAGTCCCGTCATAGTGTTTCTCCTTTACGAGAGTTTAAGAGACTAGAGGGGTCAGAGCAGCTCCTGCTCCTGCTGAGCTGCTTCTGTGAAGCTTTGAGCGTGGAGGGCCAAGGGCGCAGGGCAGCATGTTCACAGAGGCCCGAATGAAAGGGAGGATCAGGGAGGACGTGCCTGCTGCCCCAGCCTGGGCGGGCCACGCTCCCCTGGGCCCAGAACACAGAGCAGGACGCGGCAGGGCATCCCCAGGCCTCCGGCAAGACACACAGACAAACCCGGCTGGGGAACGCAAGTTAAGTCTCACCACTCAGACGGGGAGCATCCCATCCCCCTTCTCCTGGACACCCACCCTGCTCTGTCCTCCAACGATTCTTCAAGGAGGGGCCTCGCAGAGCCAGAGAGCAGGGTCTTCCACTCCCCCTGGCCCCCCAGGAAAATACCCTGATCCCACCACCGTCCAGAATCGCCTCCAGTTACCTCATGTCGGGGCAGTTCCACTAGTGTGGAGCGAGGTCTGTGCTAGGGATGGAAATCCCACAATGCAGGACGTCCAACGCCTGTGCCCAGGATGCTCCCAGCGCGGCCCAAGCCGGTCGTCCTGCAGAGAGATGCGTGCTTTGGACAGAGGAGAGCCCCAGGGTTATGGGTACCCAGAGGAGAAGCCCCAACCTGGCCAGGAAGGTGGTCTTCCTGGAGGAAGAAGACACACCTGAAGCAAGCCCTCCCAGAGCAAAGGGAAGGTGGCATTCCAGGCCAACCCACACGTAGCGGTAATGGCAACGGCTATGAATGAGAGACTCCATCTCGCCTTCCTGATGAAGAGGAAGAGAATGTTCACGGTTCCTTGGAGCAGGAGTCCGAGTCCCTTATTTCTGAGTGAGGAGACTGAAGCTCAGAAGGGTGAGGTGCTATGCCTGAGCTTGCACAGCCAGCTGGTGGGGTGGGGTGGGGGTGGGGGTGCGGGTGGCCAGAGGCGCTCCCAGCTGCCAGGCCAGCTACTCGGCCCCACATTGTGTGACCTGAGCTACGCCCTTCTCCAGCCGAGCGTCGCCTCGAGGAAGGTAGAGAGAGGCCTATGGAGGGAGCAGAGGTCCACTCCACCCCCCACCCAATGGACCCGCTCCCAGGAGCTCCCCTGAGGGACAGCGACTCAAGGGACCCAGCCAGTCTTGCGAGATCCCCAAGGAGCACCTGGTGAGACACAGGGAAGCAGAGAAGCCAGTCACCATATTAAGGTCCCTCGGGGCAACAGGAGGCTCTGCTGGGCCCACATCACCCCCACTCGCCTGCCCCCCTTCTCCACAGCCACCCCCAGAGGACGGAAGGGCACCCCCGACTCCCACTGGGGTCCCCTTTCCCCTCGGGAAATCCCAACACATGACCCATTTGCAAACTGGCTGCCGAGCCCACCTCAGAGGTGGGGGGAGACCCTCCCAGGCAAACCGGCAGAACTTGGGCATCAGGTGACCCATGGCAGCCAGGAGGCCCCGCTTCTCCATGCCATGCGGCCTGGGGGTCAGGAATCACAGTGACAAGAGTAGGACGGGAACAGCAGCAGACACCCAGTCCTGAGAAGCTGCCTTCTGGCAGCAACACACCTGAACCCCACAGCCCTGCCAGGCAGGTGCTGCTGGTACTGTCCCCATTGCGCAGAAGGGGACGCTGAGGCTCAGAGATAGGAGGTCGCCTGCCCCAGGCCCCAGAGGCAGAGGTTTGGAAAGATGACCCATCCCTGCAAAAGCGAGGTGCTATATCCCCCGCTGGATGCTCCACCCCTGCCAGCACCTCTTGGCCTGGTGGGGAAAGAAGGGGTCCCACGGAGGCGGGCTGGCCCAGAGCCCCGGGGTGGGCAGGGTGACCAAAACATTCGTCCAGCTGGCGACGTCTGAGGCTCTGCTCTTGGCTGGCCGTCAGCCACCAGCTGCGCGGCCCAGTCCCTGCACCACCTCCTCTGGTCTTCGTGAAAGGGCTGAGCCAGACCACCTCTTTGTACCACAGGGCACCACAGGGCCCTCGGGGACGCCCGGAGGAACAAGCTTGCAGCCCAAGGGGTTTCTGAAAAGCAGGGCAGACCAGTGAGGCTGGACACCTGCTGTGTCTCGGCTGAGACGTGCACCTGCAGCCCCCGTGGGTCGGCCTCTTCCACTCCCCCCTGGCCCCCCAGGAAAATACCCTGATCCCACCACCGTCCAGAATCGCCTCCAGTTACCTCATGTCGGGGCAGTTCCACTAGTGTGGAGCGAGGTCTGTGCTAGGGATGGAAATCCCACGATGCAGGACGTCCAACGCCTGTGCCCAGGATGCCTTCCTCTACATGCGTGCAGCCCATCACTCGGGGAGGGCGATCCAGATCACAAGACCCAGGCCCTGCTCTCTGGGTTCGTGCCGTCGTCCTGCAATGCCCGCACGAGCATCCGGGACGCTGGAACAAAGGATCACTAACCAGGTGGTTTTTTGTTTGTCTTTTAAAGATTGTATTTATTTATTCATGAGAGACATAGAGAGGCTGAGACACAGGCAGAGGGAGAAGCAGGCTCCATGCAGGGAGCCCAATGTGGGACTTGATCCCGGGTCTCCAGGATCATGCCCTGGGCTGAAGGCGGCGCTAAACCCCTGAGCCACCCGGGCTGCCCTAACCAGGTGGTTTTAAAACCACAGAAAGTTATTCTCTCGTTCTCTCGTATAGTTCTGGAGGCCAGAAGTCTGAAATCAAGGTGTCAGCAGGGCTTTGTTCCCTCCAAGGCTCTAAGGAAGAATTTGCTTCTGCTAGCCTCTGGCAGTGGCCAACAAGCCCTGGCCCTCCGTGGCTTCTGGCAGCGCAGCTACGACATCTGCCTCCAGCCTCGCGTGGAATTCATCCCTGTGCAACCCCCAGGCCTTCAAATCTCTCTCGCCTTATGATGACACCAGGCATGGGGTTTGGGGCCCATCCTAGTCCAATACGGCCTCACCCAATCCAGAATGACTTCATCTTAATTTGATTACATCTCCAAAGACCCTGATTTCCACATAGCCTGGTACCCAGGGGTTAGGATTCCCCAATAGCTCCTCTTTTTTTTTTTTTTTTTTTTTTTTTTTAGGAGGTGAAGGGAAATAATTCAACCAATGACAACACTCAGGCTTCACCCTGGCCCCAAGAGTCTGGCTTCCCTGGTGTGAGGGGTGGAGCGCAGGCTGGGGGTCCAGAGACCTGGGTTCCCACTCCAGCTGTCCCTTGCTTCCCACGTGACCTCACTTATTCAGGCAGTCAACTAACATTGCGTACCTAGATGTACCAGAAACTGTCCTGAGCACCGAGGCACCTGCCCTCCTAGAGCCGGTAGCCAAGTGGGAGCCTCAGTCTCCCAAACCTCACACGGAGACACGATGTGCTGGAACTGACGAAGCAGGTCCTATGTAGCCAACCAAGAGGACACCGGAAGTTAAGAGGTCCTCTGTGCTCCTACTGTGGAGTGTGGCCTTGGGCAAGTCACTTCATGTCTCTGCATCTCTGTTTTCTAATCTGGGAAACAGAAATGTTGCAATCTCATACCCAGCTAAAAAAATATAGATCACCTGTTCTTTATCACCTGAGAACATGCATGAGTCTGAATGCACAAGGTCTGGGCCCACATAAGCCCTTTCTAAGGACCCTCTGTTCCTCTGAGGCTCTACAATCTGACCCCGCACTACTCACTTATCAATCAGCTTTCCTGCCTCAGGACATTTGCACAGGCTGGTGCTTCCACCCAGAGTTACCAGCCCTGTCCCTTTTCTTTGTCTGGATGATCCTTTTTTTTTTTTTTTAGAGATTTTATTTATTTATTCATGAGACACAGAGAGAGACAGAGAGAGGCAGAGACACAGGCAGAGGGAGAAGCAGGCTCCACGCAGGGAGCCTGACGTGGGACTCGATCCCAGGACTCCAGTATCACACCCTGGGCTGAAAGCAGCACTAAACCCGCTGAGCCACCCAGGCTGCCCTGGATGATCCCTTATAACCTCCTCAGTTAACTTTCCCAGCTCCTACTTTACTCCAGACAGAAACAGCTGCCTCCTTTGTAGGGTATGTGTGTGTGTGCTTAACTGATATTGAAATAAAAGTAAAAATGCCTCTATAAAAATTTTGAACTGTCCATAAAGGTAGGAAATAAAAAGGAAGTTTTACCTCCGACAACCCCACCCCACCCTCAATACCCAAACTAGCCCCTGCTAACATTTTGTGTGTTTATCCAGGGAAAAAAAAATTACATAAGCATAATAGTACTAGCTAATGAGGACTTACCCTGGGCCCAGTCCAGCTCGTGCTTTACGTATAGCTCCAACTTACAGCCACAGAAACTAACCCCAGAGAGGTTAAGTGACTTTCCAAGTCCCACAGTCGGCGAGTGGCAGAGCTGGAACTCACACTCTGGGGGCTGTGCCACAGGCCACACTTTCGACTGCCCTTTTTTATACACACAAATGTGTTCATGCATATATTGCTCTGCTCCTTGCTTTATTTTGCTGAAAATGCACCTCCAAATCTCTCGTATCAGCACAAAAACAGCCCCTCCGTTCTCTCTCTGGCACGGAAGCACCACCTCTTCCACCCTCGGCCCCTGATGGACATGTTGGTGGGCTCTAGCCGCGGCTACACACATTTCAGTGTTAACTTGGGCTTGCTCCCAGCTCCATGCACTTTTGCAAATGCGTCTGGGGCACATGGCCCCGGGACAGCTGGACCAAAGGGCATGGGCTTTTCAAATGCTGGTAGATGTGGCCACGTCGCCCTGCAGATGGTTGGGCAAGGTTACACTCTCGCCAAGGCGGTCACATCCAGGGTGCTGTGTGTCCACTTCTCCTGGCATACCTGAGTGGGGGGTGTTGGTCCATCGGGGTCCCTCCCCAATGTGGGTTCCTTTAGTGAGGGGCGGGGGGCAGCGAGGGGGTGAGGGCGGACCTGTGCCAAGCTGTGGTTGCCCAGGATGGTTCTGCAAAACCATTTAGAGTCTGCTTCATTCAACAAACGGTAAGCACTTCTTTGGCACCTACTGTATGCTCTGTTTGGGCTCAGGAAACAGAGACCAGCCAAGGTTCTCAGAGTCAAGTGCCTGCAGGGGCCAGACAGGCCACGTAGAGCAGGGACCTGAGCTAGGTGAAGGCAATGCCAGGGTAGGCCGTGAGCTAGATCTTACAGTTTTTCCAGAAAGCCAGAAACCTGGACTTCCGGGTGAATTTGCCCTGACACTGAGCAGAACACCTGGCCCTTGAGGATTTCATATTTCTTAAGTGAATAAGGAAAATAATTAATGATTCTGAAGTTTGTCTTCTTTCTTCTGCATCTCAGTCTGGAAGAGGGACCCGCCTCTCCAGTAGGACGTGGCAAGGCCCTGGCCTCTCTCTGGACACGTGGGCAGGGCAAGGCCCAGGCTTCCTGCCCTGGGCGTCTCTAGCGGCCGCAGCTCCCAGAGCGGGGCCCTCCAGCAACCATCCCTACCCGCCCCAATCTGGGCGCATCCCCCCCACCCAAGGAGACACGCTGCAGGGGGCTGCAGGGGGAAGCAAGTCTTCCCCGTTTTGCAAGGTAACAATTGGGTTTAAAATCAGCTTTGTTCAGCAAAGCCCTGCCCTGCCCGTGCTTGACCTCCTGCCTTTCTGAATTCCTGCACCACCACCCCTGCGATGGCAGAGAGACTTAAATAAGTGAATTAAAGGAATCAGCCACTGTGTGTTGAACGGGACAGCCACCCTCTCTCCCATGCTACCTTCAGTACGCTTCAAGAAGGCGGGGATCACAGCTCACTCCAACTGTGTCTCGGCCAGTAAGACTGAGTGG